CCCCCCCCCCCCCCCCCGAGAGACTGAAGGGAAGAGTCTAGCTGCTCTGGTGGAGTTGATCCTAAAGTTAACATTCAGCAGCCCATTTCCAGACAGCAGCGCTAAATCTATTTGGATAAAACGCGTGTGACCCAGACACTTGGCACCTCGCCACGCTGCGTTGCACCGGCAGCCCAAATAAAAACAAGAGTCTGAGACACTCTCCTCTCGCGCGCTCGCTTTTTCCACTCTTGTACAATGAAAGAAATGAGCGAAGACACGAACTGGACACACATCATCAGGAAGCTGGATCCCAATTATCTCTCCCCCCCACCCCTCCAAAAATCCCTTTGAACTCAGTGCCATAAGCTAGACACACAGACACACACCGATAAATAAGGCTCCGGAGGGTTAACAGTGGAGCAAATCCCAAGGGGCTAGAAGTAAATCAAAACCACACGCTTCCATCGCTTTGATTAGCCTATTAAGAGCTTAACATCCAGAGCATCAGAGCTGCAGCCCGCACGTTAATGCGGACCCTTGGAGTCCAGACACAAAATATGCACTTGTCTGACCGCTGAAGCAGACTCTGACATGACACTACCAAATGCTCGACTTTTTTTAAATTGAAACAAAGTCGAATAGTTGGGGGTTTTTAAATCAGTTTCCACTAATAATTCAGTGTAAACCTGCAAAAGAATGCTCTGCTCAAGAATACACTTAATAAATCACCATCCTTTGCAACTGAAAAGTCTCGCATCCCCATCCCCCAGTAATCCTCAAACCTCAAAGGTTCCTCTCTGAAATTATTCCAAATGCACCTCGCCAAAATGCAGTCTAAACTTTCCCCCCTGCTCTCCCCCCAAGATCTACACGCATCGTTATTCAGGAGACAAGAAAAGCACAAGGAAAAGTTGCATTGTATAGCGTGAAGTCTCTCCTTACCGTTTTCATCTTCAATTTCTGATATAAAGTTAGTTTCAAACAATAGAGATTGCACTGGACGATTCCCGTATTCCTCTCTGCTTTGCCCTCTTTGCAGGCAACACCAGTTATATTCTCCAACAGAATGAAATCCTCTAGCTTTCCTAAAACGGGATTTTTAGAAAAACGAACGGACTTGGCAGAGAAGGGGATGCCATCAATTCACCCAGGCTATCACCCTGCACATTTTGTCTTTCCAACCAAAAGAAGTGAAAAAGAGGGGGAAGAGGAAGGAAGGAAAACAGACTTATTTTGGGGTGGGGGTGGGTACCCTCTCCTTGACCAGCCTCCTCTGTGCAAAGTACCATGTGAATATCATCCGAGTTGGGGGAAGGGAGGGAGGGGAGAGAGAGAAAGAGAGAGAAAGAGAGATAGGGAAAGCAGGCAGGGAGAGCAGGAAGGACTCAAGAAAGTTTTGTTGAAGTAGCCCTAGATCTCTTCTCACTACCGGCCTCCAGCCAAGTTTCGAGTGCAGCAGCAGAGGAGAATTTTGGCAGCTTTGCCCGGGAGGCTGAGCACACACTGACGTCAGTCTGCAGATGTGCCTCTGGCTCCCCTGGCGCTGCTGCGCATGTCGGGCCCATCACGTGGAGGGGGAGGGGGATGCAGAGGTACAATCAGGGTAACCGGAGGGGAAAAAAATCATTCACTGGGGTTTAGACAATGTAAACTTTTCCACCACGCGAACGGGAGCAACCCCGGCCCCGGAGCGCTCCCCTTTCCTCGGGGAACCTCGCAGAGGCAGGCGGGCTCCCGCGCTACCTTTGCGGAGGGGGAGGCTGCTGGGGGCAGAGGAGTTAAGCTTCCCTGGCAGGACCCCCGGGCTGCAGCGTCCTGGTGCGATTACAAAAGCCAATGGAAAGGCTGCGGGCTTCACCCCGGGCCGTGCTGGGGGGAGGGGGCGAGGGACTGGACCTGGGCTGAGCCTCAGCCTCAGGAGCTGGTTGGATTCTCCCCGACCCAGAGCTGGAGAAGGGGCTTGTTGCCGGCTGCCTCCGCACTTGTGGTAGAGGTGATACCTTTTCTTAGACCGACTAGATTTTTGCAAAAGCTCTGAGCCTGCAGACGTGCTGGCAGCAGGGCTTTCCTAGAGCATCCCCCGGGCAGGCTCCCGGCGCGTTTGCACGCAGCCGGCATGTCCCTTGCCCCGGACTTCTCGCAGGCATGTGCTCCTTGCCCGGCACTCGGCACTCGCACCTCCCGGGCCACCCGCCGGCTTCCGCCTCCCCGGGGCTCGGGCTCTGCCGGCTGCTCGCTGACCCCGGAGCCCGGCCAAGAAGCTGCATCCTCGCCAGCTGGGGTTACGCGCCGCGGCTGGGGGTTGAAGTGGCAGCTGGGCCGCGGGCGGCTTTGCGGAGCGAAGTTGCTGGACGGGGCTAGGTGGAAGCTCCTTTCAGGGGCGCACAACAAAGAGGCGAGTGCGCCTGGCCCTCGCGCGCCACATGCGCTCAGCCCGGACTTTGCACATCAAACAAGACGAGACGTTGCACTTTCACTTTCATTTGCAATGAGAAACCTGCTGGCACCAAACGAAGGAGGAGGAGGGGGAGGGAAGCCCAAGGATGTCTTCCATGCAGTGAGATCCTGAATACAATCTGGCATACAGATCGGAAACGGGAAAGGGTCTGGGGGAAGGTCGTCTTGCACTGGTGTGATCTGCTGAATCATTTATGCGGAGGGAGGCGAAGGGCGAGCTGGGGGTGCCGGTGCTCGGGGGGCGAGAGGGTGGAACTGGCGTCTTGAAATCCCAGCTCTCACACCCGCCAAGTTAATTTCCGATTGCCAAAAGGAGAGCGGGGTGGGGGAAAACCCTTCCTGAATCTAGGCTCTAAGATTTCAAGCTTCTGCTAACATTATTTCCCATCGGGGGGGGGGGGTTCATCCT